AAAAGGGGGGAGAAAAAAAGAAGAAAAGGGGGGAGAAAAAAAGAAAAAGGACAGGCATTTCAGTCACTTAAATAACCTACAGAGAGTTCAGCTAAACACTCAGAGGAAATACACCTCACTGTCTAATCCACCCTTTTGTGTGGACATCAGGAGAAAATACTGTGGTATTTCTGCTCCCAACTGCTAAACATGCATCCTGCCCCACTGCTTTCTGAACACACTTCTCTTCGCCAAGTAGAACCCCTAAAAGGGTTGGGCAAAGCCCTTTCTTACTTATCTTGTCCTTGTCTTTGGTGATTTCGTGGACTTTTCTCTAACCTCATCTCAGGGTCTCTTTTCCAGGCCAGAGAGTCCTACCCTGCTCAGTCACTCCTTTCACACTTGCTGTTCCTCGCCCTGTTCTCTCTTGCTGCTGCTCTCGCACTTCTTCCAGGGCTACCACGTCTGCTCTGCACCACGGCTGCCTCTTCCCTTTAACTGGAATTTCCCGTGGCCTCTCACACCACCTGGGCAAGCCGGGGTATGGGAAGGTCTCTCTGCAGTTTGTTGATCCTCAGCAAACTTCCCTCCTATTCCTCTTCCTTTTCTGGATCATTTACTAGGACGTTGAGCTGGACACATGGCCCAAACCCTGATCCTCCGGGGACTGCAATGGTAAAACCCTCCCCTGTGAAAATGGAATATCTGGGAATTTTGTTGCTGTTGATACCATAACTCTTTCCTTCTGTGGGATGTTAATAGAGTCYCTCTTTATTTGCCCCCCTATTTTCACCAAATATGTAAGATTTTTTTTCCCCCTGAAGTTCAGTTACATTTGGTGGAATAGACCAATGTGTTTCAAAGTTACCAGGCAGAAGTCATGTACAGTTACACTGTGATAGCACAAGCCTTGTTTCTTCAGTAAACCAGTCCAAAAAATTACTTTAAAATACGATCTGTCACCTGCAATGAAGTTTCATTTGATATTGAAATGTATTCTATATTACTATGCACTGGGTATTTCTCCCATACATATATTAAAAATATGTATACTTATGTATTAGGCTAGATTTTAATTTTTCATGTTTTATATGCACTATTTTAAATCACTGTGGACACCATAAATTATAACCGGAAGGTTTCTATGCAAACAAAGAGATAAATTTAGTCAAATGCAAGACAGATTCCCATCAGAGAAGGAAAAATTTAAGAAATACAGAAAGTGCAAAACGCATCATTATGGGCAGTACAGAATTCCTTCATATACTCTAGAAGTTTTTGCTTTCTACTAGTACAACTTCCTACTCCCTGGCCTTGATAAATGCATTCTTGGCCAACATAAATCCAGACAAAATGCTACCAGAAAGGTAATTTTTCTGGCTCATGACTTTGACCGTGTTGTCAGCCTTCGCTTTGCACCCCTCTGCTAWCTCCCCCATCCCTGTGCTAGCAAACACCAACCACCTACCTTCTTCGGGACGGCCTTTCCAACACAGAGCTGGAGCCTGGGTCACATTCACTGGCTATGGMGGAGTCAACCCCAGCCTCCTCCCTGCCTGCCTGCCAACTTGCCAAACCTCCCAAACCAACACCTTTGCATTCAACTCATGCTGTTATTTTAACGTGAAATACCCAGAAAGTTTCCCTGCTTTCCTGTCTTAAATCTGCCCATAAGATGCTGTTTTAATAACAGACACTCAGTCTGCCCTTAAGATGTTGTTTTAATAACAGGCACTCGTTAAAAAATGGTGCCCTGTAGCCTGCACTCATGTTGCTCAGGATAACACAGTCACCATTACCAGGTACTTCCACGGACCTTTATAAAAATCCATTTCTAAACTCTACAAGGATGGAGCTCCTAGCCACTATAACAATGTTTTAACAACAAATACAGTTTGCATTAACCTCTTTCCCAAACAAACGGAGTTTTTTAAACACTGAAAATAAGCAGATCAGTAACATTGTTTGCCATCTTAAGCTCTTTTGGTAATTTACCTGAGTTGCAGCAACAACAGTAGTTACAGAAGGCGCAGCTGAAGGTGACAGAGCTCCCACCTGCAAGTGGCTTGAAGCCTGCTGAGGTAAATGAGAACTGGAAACGGGAGTGCTAGATCCTGAGCCAGATACTGCATTTGGAAATGATACTGCTACATCATTGCTGCTAAAAATACCTGAAAAAAATTACAAAAACAATTACATGCATCTCTCTCTCTCTCTCCCCCTCCCTCTGCTGTTTAGTAACCATGTAAATATGCAATAGAAAATTAATCCAGACAGACAAGATAACTTAATATACAATACGAAAGTTCCTTGATGCAATTCTAACCGTGCTCAGAAGTACTCTTGTCATTGACATTTTACAATTCAGGAAACACAGATTCAGTTTTAAACTTTAATAAAATGGTTGCGATACATCAAATATTTATGTGCATTATGCTGAAATATTAACAGTAGCAGAATTTTTGGCTCAAATGCCCACCTTCAGCATCTGCTACCTGCATTTATTGTTTCAATGAGCTACTATGAATGTTTAGGTAGATAAAGATTTAAGTATCAAGCTGCATAAAAGATTTGAATGAAAAATTTTAAAGCATTTCTGGACTAAATACATTGGTTCAACAAGTTGCAAAAGAATTTTGGCAACTAAGGATTTCCTGTGTGGTTTTAGGAGAGAACAGACAGCAAGTCTGAGGTCAGTCCTCAGATTTGCTGGGAGAAGAGGTCCCATTTCATTTATTCACACACTAGCACCCCACGTGTGYTGGAATTTGAATAGGAGAGTGCATACCCCTCTGTGAAGCCATTACTTCTGCTCAGCTACATGCAGGGAGAAGTTGATTATACAGGTCAGGAAAATCCCTATTGACCAGAAGCCCAGGACAAGAAGTAGTACCTGTCTATGCAACTGTTAGGCTCCACGTGCATTAGATTAGTGAGCTGTCAGCTGGCCAAGGAATACCAAGCATGGTAGCACTGAACTGCCGTTAGAGGAAGAGTGCCACAGGGAGTAAAGAGAAGTAGGATGAACATGGTTAGATCCAAAAAAGCCACAGAACTGAAAGGCCAGTTAGAAGGCAAAGGGTGGAGCTAGTTTGTCACTCACACAAATACTGATCTGGAGAAGGCAGAGACAAGAAGATAAGCAAGGTTAAACACGGCTCTCCGCACAGCCTTCTGCGTGAGCGCGGCCGAGGGAGGCCGGGATAACCCAACCCCACACACAAAATGCAGATCCTGGTGCATCCCGCATTCCCTGCCTCTATAACCAACACGGAAAGCTAGGAGAAAACCAGCCAGACTCAGCACCAGAGCTGAAAAACCCAGGGAAAGACACATTCGGAAAGAGGTCGCTTTCCCCTCTGCCTCATCTAGGTTAGTCACTTGTTTTAATCTTCTCCCCAGTGTCTTCATCACYTGCTCCTCTTCTCTGCCAACCTTCACCTCCTTCCTCCTTTCCTGCGTGATGGATGTGTCCCATCTCCTCCCCATCCTGCTCTGGCAGCACCCCAGCACCCCATCATAAGGGAGCTGCCGCCAAACTGAGCTCCCCGGGCTGCTCAACCCCCAGGCCCTTTGCTCCAGCCCCCTCTCATCTCCCTGGATGCGCCTACGTGGGTTGCTCCACACTGCCGAAATAAACACCATTAACAAAGAGTTTTACTATTGAGTCTATTCTTCAATGCTAGATTAGGCAACCATAAAAGTTATAAATAAATATTTTTTTAAAGTCCTCTTCCTTAAAATATTCAAATCTGGTTTGGAATGAAGATTTTAAACTAATAAAGCACCCGGAGGAGCTTCCGTAAACACACATAGCATTCTGAATATGTATGTTAAATTATGAGAGCTACAAAATTCTGTTAAAACATTAACTTTTTCTGCAATTACTTTGCTCTGACCTTAAGGTAGAAAGAAATACTGAAATATCACAAGACTTACAATTAAATTATAAGAGCTGGTCTCTGTTACTGTTATCATTCACATAAAATATCAGTGATAACAAATGGAGAAAATGCTGTATTTTCAGAGGGAGCTGAGTAGTGACAAAGAAAGGTATCTTGCCAGGAAGGTACAGCGAGTCCCAAATTTGGGCAAACGCTGTTGCAGGGTTTTTTCCTCAATTTGCAGAACCTCCCATGTTTAATAACCACAGAGCTTCTGCTTCTACTGTCTTAATTGCACGGTTTATTCTTCCTCTTAAAGATACAACTGGAGAATGCAAGCAGACACTTATAAACCATGGGCATAAAGCTGCTTCCAAAGAAAGACAAACAGCAATGTGATTTGCCAGTGGAACAAGGATTTTTTTTAATTTAAATATAAAAGTTCACTATTTGTTGCTGTTGCAAAAGACAGGAAAAAGAGGACTTATCCAAACACTTTCTTTGGATTAAGTATTTCCATTTAGCAACACCTTAACACAATATAGAAGCACATGCACTTTCTAGAGGCATTCCTGTAGGTATTACTGCATGCAACCACTTAAGATAAGAACCGGATACTGAACATGCAGATCAATCCTTGATTTTCACACCATTTCGAAGACAGCTGTATAAAAACTGTGCACATATCATGTTAGAAAGAAAAAAAAAAGAAAAAAAAAGTCTTTTTTTTTTTTTTTTTGAGGTAAATCATTTCCCAAATCTGCAAGGAATCATAAGGAAAGCCTGAACATGGCATAAATCAAAACTCGGTTAAAACACAAGGCAAAAAGCTTAGAGTACTGCCCATGCTGCTGAAATGCTGCACAGTCACAGCCTGTGACGAGACACGCTGCAATCTGCAAGGGCACGAGCAGCGCGCTGCGAAATACGAGCTGAGTTTGAGGAGGATGCAGTAGTTCGGCTGCTGATCCGCACGGGAAGAGGCGCTCAACACGTGCGGGTGAAGCCTGGCCGGGCTGCACACGGGCGCACAGCCGCCCGGCACCGCCRCGGGCTCCGGGAGGCCGGAACAGGCGGACGCTGCCGAAGGGAGAGGCGCAGCCAAAGCAACCCCGCATCCCTGGCGAGYACCACCCGCCTGCTCAGCACGGAAGTACCATGACCACCCCGGAAAGGGCATTGCAATTGAGAGACGGAAAAATGTTCGTTCTGCTGATGATAAATGATGAAATAGGTAACAGAGGAAGTCTCTCTCATAGTTTGCTGCTCCTAGTTATTTTTCAGAAACTTCAGCACTAGGATAATCCAGCCTAAGAGTTTTTAAAAACGTTACCTTGCAAGCCCCTAAGAGATGCACTTAACTACAGGCCTTAGATGTCCCTTCCTGTCCTGGTGAAGTCTGAGAAGGAAGAGAAAATAGTGCAAAAAGGGACTTGGTATTGGAATATTCAGAAATAAAACTCGTGTCTTCAGAGTATGAACCAGCTTAAACCTGGTGATTTCAAGAACATCTCCCTTAAAATCACAACAACTTACTATACTGGGCAAGATGGAAAAGTGCTTTTAATAGAGCTGCATGGAAAGCTGCAACTAAGCATTTAGAAAAAATGATTAGATAATTCACTTTCTCTAAGCAAGCAAGAACATGCTGCTTTCTGACAGGATGTAACAGCAGAAAAATTAACCCACAATTTGTCATTTTCCATTACGGACAAGCTACAAGCAAACAGGTTAATGCGATGCCATAATCTTAAAAGATAACAACGAGAAAGCTGTGTTTGAGGCTGCCAAACTAGCAACTATATTTCATTTCATTTTACCCGAGATAATGAAACCATGGCCTGATGCTAGGGCCATGTGGTTTCCTTCCTTGTGAGGGAATATGAAGTCTACAGATGAAATAATCTGCTCTTCTGCTCATGACCTTGGCGGCAGAGTTTCATTCCAGATCTGCCCTTACAAGGTTCTGAGGTAAATGCTGGGGACAAAGGAAAAGGACAGTCACTTCTCTGCAACCTCGGAACAAGGCAGCAGCTCCCTTCCTTTCGGTGACAGGGAGCCCTTTGCTCCCTTGGGCACAACAGCCTCGCTCAGAGAGCAGGGCCGTGTCCTCCACGAAGGGCTTTCTGCTCCCTCTCCACGATGTGGCAGTAGGAAAAAGAGCTCTGAGATCTGCAGTCCCCATAAAAGACCTACTGCGGAAAGCAGAGGGGGAGGCAGAGGGACAAAATGCATGCATATGTATTTTCAAAATGGAATAGCTACTCTAGGTCATAATTATTAACAAAAAGTAATTCCCATGAGTATTCCCTTTGAAAATACTGTGTAGTTTGGATTTACAGCCAAAGACCAAAGTGTTTGAGAAGAACCTCCCAACAACCGAAGGTCTCAATTCTGCATGGCAGTGTTAGACACACAGTGAATCACGGTGATTTAAWGCCAAGGTCACATGCTGCTCAGATACAGGACAGCCCCGCAGTCTGCTATCAGGATTCACTAAAATTAATCCCAAATTCTTGACAGGTCAACTAGCAAGAGGGGTCTCTTCAGTCTCTTCTGGCTACTTCAACCCTCTTCTTCACRGTCCTGCCTTGGCTAACAGCTAGCTATCCCTGTTCTTTCAAGGATTCACACAATAACCAACAGACAGTCAGGGTCCGACCTGATCCATCCATGGTGCCACCACAACAGCCTGCTATCCTGTTCACCTAGGCCCACCTGCTGCAGCCAACAATTGTTCTAACTTGACCATTAGCACTCATCTCATCAGCACTCGTCCATTAGCACTCATTAGTGACTACCACCTTCCTGCCAGCAGTGCTACAGAATCTGCTCTTCAGTGGGTGCGGGAGTGATGAATACATATCCTGGCTCGCTAACATGAAACACCTTGTAAGAGCTGCTTAAATCAAGTTAATCAATACACAGTTCCCAATTAACCTTTAATTCCCTATGTGTGCTTCCACGTACAGGAGCTCAGAATTTGCTGAGCCGCTCCCAGTTGATGCAGGGTTGCTGGAGCAGGGAATGCCGCTGCGACCGTGGATGATCGCAGGCCACGGCCRGGGTTTCAGTGCAGCCCGCGGGCAGCGGCGCTGGCAGGCAGTGCAGGGAGGGCCCCAGCACCGCGGCCACTGCCTCCATCTCCAGCAGTGTCACAGCTGCTGCCCAGGGAGCACACAGGGGAAAGCACGAAGAGAAACTGCCCTTGAACGCCCTGCCAGCCCTTGCACGGCTGTGACTAAAAGATTTCACCTTGAAGGGCCTGTGTACATATTAACCTTGGG